AAGTTGGGGGGGGGGGGGGAAGATGAACTAGGGCATTGTCTTGTTATAGACAAGCCTTTCGTATCCTCGGGACTTCTGAACAATTTAATTTGATTGGCTCTGTATTTAGTGTTTAATCTGGCGCTGCCTGAAACAGATGAGTACCCAAATTTATGATATCAGTGAAGGTGTTCTTGGAGGATCAATTGACTTGGCGGCTTATCCATGCCTTAGGCATGAGTTTGCTAATTCAAGTAACATTAATCCAGATGTCAGTGTTGATGAACAGGTCCTGGAACAGTAATATGTGATTATATGTGCTATACATTCATGTTCCTCTCAGTTGCGACTTCAAATCTCGTTGCCACCTCTCTTGCTCGGCAGGTTAGTTTGTCAAAACCTTCAGGGCATTCTTAGTTTTGAGGTATAAATTTGACCTGCCATGCTTTTCTGGTCATGGATGAGATCAAGGCAATCTTCTTGTCTTATGCCAAATGCTCATTATCAGGATCTGTTTATTGAATAGTGCACTCTTGACTAGCTGTTTGAGCCACCGTCTTGCTCATTGAATAGTAATATTGCAGGATAAAGATGACGTTCAGCATCAAATATCCACCTTGCTTTTCATTGGGTTGGCTTGTGGATGTGCGATGTTCCTGTTTACAAGGCTGTTTGGTCCCTGGGCACTAACTGGTAATGCAGACTGGTAAATGTTTCAAATCAGAAATCATAACTTTCAAGAACAAACAACGAGCCTTTTGCTGCTAATCTTATGACCTGTGACTCCTAGTGCGTGTTACTAGGGTTCCGAATTTGGTTCCTTTGGATAAAAATCAAGGCTGAGAAATTCAATTTTGTTCACTGTACTGGGTGTAAAGTTTACACCGAGTAGAAATATTTATCTCCAGCGTGAACCTAGGAACTATAAACTTCAGCAAGTTGGAAAAAGTTTCTGTAGTTGAATTTAATCTTGTACATACTTATATGCGTCAATATTTTAACAATCAATTGTGGGGTTTTCTCATCTTTCTTCAGCTAATGTGTTGCGCATCTGGGATCAGTGATTAAAAATGAAATTCCTCGTAGCTTACCTAACAGGATATGTACTAGTACATAGAAAGGCTTTGGTGGGCGGTTAACATTTAGTTGATCATAACTTAACTGGTCCTGTGTTCTTTCAGCTTTTACTGGGGGAAAGAATGTCGATATTGTGCCAGCAGCAAACACATATGTCCAGGTTGATAGTCTTTTATCTCATTAAACCCTTTTTTGTTGTGTTTTATGTTAGAGTTCGAGAGCGTATTGGCTGTATGCATGTAGGCAAATAGGATTTGGGTTCCATGCAAATCTATGCAAAGACGGACATCTTATAATTAGGGCCACTCATGTTTATCCCTAAGATGCATTAATTCTTGGCCAAAACTTATTTGGAATTTATTTCCTCTGGCTTCTTGTGATTTAAGCTTCAAGGCACATGTGTAAATATGTCTTTGCAAACCTATGAAGACTAGTGTAGTTTTCTTAGTGGAGACTTGCTACCTGCACATATTATGTAGTAACAATTTGTTCGTTTTCTCAGATTAGAGGTTTTGCATGGCCAGCTGTTCTCATTGGATGGGTTGCTCAAAGTGCAAGGTCCTCTGATATCCAACTTCCCTCTGCATGTAGCTCTAACTTATTTTCTCAAGTGATTTTACTGTTTCCCTTAAAAATATGCAAGAGAGCACATTTGTGCACTATTAAAAGCTTCAGTAATATTTCCCCAACTTAGTCTGTAATCTATCACAGTGGATCATTAGTGGAAGAAGCTGCTGATGATCTTACACTACGAGACATATTGAGTGAATATACTGTTAGCTGATTGTAATGCCATGTCTGGTTGTGAATTCTTTTAATACCACAAGACTGGTATCTAATTGTTATGCTAAGCATCTGCTCTTTTGTGTTGTCTCAGCCTGGGTATGAAAGACTCTTGGGGGCCTCTAAAGGCACTGGCAGTTGCTAGCATAATAAATGGTGTTGGTGATGTGGTCTTGTGCACCTTTCTAGGATATGGCATAGCAGGCGCAGCTTGGGCAACAATGGTGTCACAAGTAAGCTGAGTTACACCTTATCTATTCATATACAATCAAAGGTTCCTTATTATAGCGAGATTACTGAAAATTATGAAGTTTTCTGGCTTATGTACTGCGTTTGTGTACCAAACATTTTCAAACTTTGGATTCTTGGATTGAGATGTCTGATTCTATGCCATAAACCTATTGACAATATATGGTGTCTCTCTATGGTTTTATATCTGCAGTGCCTAACTGGAGATTTTTTTAGGTTGTTGCAGCTTATATGATGATGGATGCTTTAAACAAGAAAGGATACAACGCATTTTTGCTCCGCATACCTTCTCCAAATGAGCTTCTAACAATATTCGGGCTGGCTGCCCCTGTTTTTGTAACTATGATGTCGAAGGTTACCCTCTTCACATCTGAAAACAATACTCAATGCCATAATGATCATCTCTTAGCCTCTGAGATTTGTTCTGTGTTTCCCTTAGGTTGCTTTCTATACGCTCCTTGTATACTTCGCAACTTCAATGGGCACCACAGTCGTAGCTGCTCATCAGGTGAGATGTCCTTCTGTATTCTACATCCTCTCTTGTTTCCAAATTGCTGTGAAAAATTTTGAGTGAAATTTTTCTTTGGCAGGTAGGGTTCTTAGATGTTCAAAGCATCAATAAGTTTGCTCTCTCTCTCCCTATCTTCTTTGAATCTTTTTCTCCTTCGTTTTCCTCGTTCTAGGTTATGCTACAAACATATACAATGTGCACTGTGTGGGGGGAACCTCTCTCTCAGACCGCACAGTCCTTTATGCCGGAGTTGTTGTACGGGATCAACCGCAACTTGCCTAAGGTAAAGCTCTCTTTACTTTTCAGGCAACACTGAGAAACAACATCCGTTCTTGTTTGGCCTTGTCATAAAACTTGAGAACTAGCAATCAAGTATTCACTGAATGATGCCACTGCCTGTTTTTTTTTTCTCAAGACAGCCGTTTAGTTTTTTTTTTCCTTTTATAATGCACACAGGCCAGAATGCTGCTGAAGTCACTTTTCATAATCGGAGCTACACTGGGTCTTGTAATTGGAGCCGTTGGGACTGCGGTTCCTTGGCTGTTCCCTGGCATCTTCACACACGACAAGGTTGTCGTAAATGAGGTATTCTCTGTCTCCTCCCAATTATCTCATCCCTACACTCAAATCTTTAATACAATCTATCCAGTATCTGATATCAGCTATATGTTGCAAGTTGCAACTTTCTAAAACTCTTTTGACTTCTGTCTTCTTACAGATGCACAAGGTCATTATACCGTATTTTCTAGCTTTATTCATGACACCGAGTACCCACAGTCTTGAAGGCACCTTGCTGGTAAGCTTGCCCTTTCACTCTGATGGTTCTCGCTTCACTTTGTATTCCGATCCTTCAGTACCTTGCTTTGTATAGTTTATCATCTTCTTACAACGATTCTGAAAAGACTCTGATTACCGAAATCTAAAAAACTGAAGCGTTCTCTGTAAAACGCAGGCTGGAAGAGATCTCAAATTTATTAGCTTATCTATGACCGGATGCTTGGCTGCAGCTGGACTTGTACTTGTGGTACACACCACTCAACCGACCATCATTCTTTCCATCCACTGTTCCACATTCCCAATCCTGATTAGGCTCTCTAATTCTCTCATCTCTTTATGTTTACAATCATCGACAGCTTCTGAGCAATGGTGGATTTGGCTTGCGTGGCTGCTGGTTCGCCCTTGTGGGATTCCAATGGGTACAAGCCACACATATGTTGCGCTAACTATACAATCCTATACACTTTTTGATTCTAATGTGACCTGTTTCAGGCTCGATTTTCCCTAGCCCTTCAACGGCTTCTACAACGAGACGGTATACTTTACTCAGAAGACACAAGTAGATACGCAGTCGGAGAGAAAGTGAAAGCTGCTTAGCTACGAGAGTCAAATTTACACCAAGAAGGAAACCGCCATGGATCATATCCTTATAGATTCCTCACTAGAACAGATAAAAGATTCGATTCAATTAAATATAGATCCAACTGTATTGTAATCCATATTCTTGTTGAATGAGAAAACGCCTTTGGACAAATGAAAATGCTTAGCAGATGCTCGTCTCTCTCCTACAGAAAGTTTTGCCTGTTTCATTCGAGTAGTGATCATTTCCCTGTATGCAGAAGATGAGGCAACAAGCCGCACATTTACCTGTTTCCAGGAACTCATGCAGAACAATTCCAAGGGAATCAAGCCGTCGCAACCCTGCTACCTCCTCTGCGCCCGCGCCCGCTTGATCTGGTGGCTGCATAATCCTTTCTCTGCATTTTCCGACAACACAATGAAAGAACCTCGAGAGAAACAACAAGCAGGAGAAAAGAGGAAGAAGCCTTGTAATCTACAGTTTCCGTGTACTCACAGACGATGGGGAGAAGGCCTTCGGTGGCGTTCTTTTCAGGAACGTCCTCTGGTTCTCCTTCCTTTTCTCCTCGGCTCTCATTTTGGTGAGACTGGGCCTGTACACTATCACTGTCCGCCCTATTTGCCCCACCACCACTGAACCGGTGGCTTCCTCTAGATTCTGAACCACGTCCTCCAGCTCCCCCGGACACGTCCTGTGAATCTTAACCTGTGTTCATGGGATTTGACAGGCTTAGCGTAAGTTCTTACACAGCTTTCTTCTTTATTAAGATCGTAAGATGGTGAATTCTTACAGGAAAGGCTTGGAAAGTTTATACCTTTAAGAGCTCGTTCTTCTCCAGAGTCTCTAGGAAGGAGGAAACAACAGTATCGGTGACACCCGATTTGCCGACGAGCTGACACTTGAGCTTCTTCCCCAGACTGTGGGCGTAAGAAGACAGCTCCTTCTTCTCCTTCACCGTCATTTTCAGCCCCGAATTTCGTGGCTTCGCCTTTTTCTCCTCCTTATCCCCTTCCGATACTCCCAAATCTTCACTTTCTACCAGAGAAAGCAGCGCAGGATCCAGACTATCCTCTTCTTCTTCTTCTTCCACGCTTAGGGCAGATAAAGACGCATTATCTTCGTCTTCCCCGAGTTCTGGTTCGGGAACAGAAGAGTAAGTTCTCGAAATGAAGAGTGAGGAGAGAGAGCCAGAGAGCGAGATAGAGGAAGACAAAGGAGGAAGTGAAGGCGAGCTGAAAGACGCAAGGAAGGAACGGAAGCGAGGCTCGAGATGCTGATTGGCTTTCTGGGTGAATGTGGACGCGCAAAAGGGTCTAACGAACAGACAGACGGAAGAAGACTGCTTAGGATGTCGGAGAAGATGGTGGAGAAAGAGAGCCGATGAACAAGACGACGACGATGTTACGGTCGCCATTGTTGCAGCCGACTCGGAACTCTCTGGTCTTCGGATAATTATGGGGGAAATCTGGAACCATTTTTCACTTGTATTGATAGTCCCCATCTTCATCAGCGAAGTGACTCTCCGTTTAAGGTTGTCTACAAGCTGGGTGTTTGGTCTAGTGGTATGATTCTCGCTTCGGGTGCGAGAGGTCCCGAGTTCGATTCTCGGAACACCCCATCTGTCACGCCTCTGCTCTTTTTTTGGACCAGGCTTATTTCATCGGCTTTATCCTCCGGTCCATATCATTCCCGCTCTTATAGCCGACAAATGGGTCATTTATGGGCCCACTTAAGGTCGGCCCATTTTTAATGGACGTCGTCTGTTTGTCTATGCTTTCCATCCCTTTACCGAAGGGAGCAATGAGCATGGTATCTGAACACGGATTTGATGACGCTAACCTCACAGTTGTTTAATCAATAAAGTATATTTTTTTTATAGCCGTGTACCTCGAGCCTTAGTTTAGAATATCCAAATATCTATGATAAATAGCTAGAAGAATAAGACTCCTATGGAAAAGGGGATACATGTAGTGGATAGGAAACTCTAAAAGAACGAAGAGACCACATGGCGTTGGCACGTGAGGATGTGAAAGGGGCGCACGTGATACAGCTGTGGTGGGAGATGGTGAAGTGACTACTACTTAGCTTCAACAAGCAGCCACAGAGGACCCACTTCCTCACCTCGCTACGCCCTTTGCTTAGGATGCTTGCTTACATGTATGCATGCACATATACGTATGTATTGTGTGCATATACATGGGAAACTTGCAAAGCTACTGCATGTGTATATACATGTGTCAAGCTCTTAATTACTTAAAACCATATAAAAACACATCTTTCAATTAATCTTCCATATATTTTTCATCCACGTCAAAAGAGATATAATCATACTGTGACTCAATCAGCTATTCATCATTATAGCTTCTTCCTTATATATATATATATATATATATATATATATATACACACAAATACAAGTTAAGACTGAAACTGTGGTACACAATTGTGCATTTGATAGACTACCCACTTATCCTTTGTTGCTTAAGTTATAAGCATCGTCTACTATTTACGTTTCTTGGGCACTGCAGTCCATTATTAATTGCAGTTGCTGCTGCTATATTTGTTGTGCCATTATTGTTTTAATTAAGACGACTTAATCTTCCAAATTATCAAGTGAAACTTAATTGAACCAAAAAAAAAAAGAAAAAGAAAAAAGAAAAAGGGTGCATTTTGGACGTTGACCAATGACCCCTCTCGTTGACTCTCCCTGACTCAAGGGGAAATGACGCTTAACACCCTCAGCGGCCCCAACCAGAAGTAACAAATTACGTCTCTACCCTTGCCGCTCGTTTGTCTAGGAAATGACATTAATGCCCCTCATAAGAGTCTTGTCGCCTACGTGTAAAGCGAGATCGGGTGAAAGGGGCATCGGTCACATGGGCGAGCTAACCCCCCCCCCCCCCCCCCGTCTTCTCACTCTCTCCCCCATGCGCGTGCTATGATTTTATATTCTTCGAAAACTCCCGTTTCTAGTTTTTATCTTTTGTGATTGCATGAAAAACATATTACGTGTTTCACAATTCAGAAATAAATAATTTTGGTGACAAGAGAATAATGATTATAAAATAAAATATAAATACATTGAATAGCAATAAAAAAATGTTGAATGAGTTATAGGAATTAAGAGGTATTCCCGCTCGTTCCATTCCATCAAATTTATTTTTACGTAATTTTTTTTGTCTGGTGCGTGATGTTGAAGTGAACCTCCCTCGGGGCTGTCTGTCTTTTGGGCGCGACACATCAGCAGCTGACGGTGAAATGGAATTAATTAATTATATATTTTTCTCCTCAAATCATTTTCAACTGCCCCAATTAAATAAATACTGTTTTTTTTTTAAAAAAAACGAACAAAAAAATTCAAAATCAGAAAAATCAGATTTCAGCCTCCTCGTTTCTTCACCAGGAGAAATCTCTCCACTGGATCTCTCTCTCTGCAGCACTTTCGCTTGAAGAAGACGAAACATTATCTCTCTCTGGTCTCCACCTCGCAGCTAAACAAAAGGAGAGAGAGAGAGAGAGAGAGAGAGAGCACAATGCCTTTTTCTGTCTCCAACCATGTGAGGTTCCACTGACACATTCTCTGCATCTTCTTCGCCGTCCTTCCGAAGTTTTGTTCGATTCTTCTTCTTCTTCTTTTCCTCCTCCTCCTCTTTCGATTGGCTAGCGAGTCTCCGAGTTGATCGAGTTCCGAGGCGCCGGATGGCCTCATCGTCATCCAGAGCGAGGAGCAGTTCACCGTTCTCGTACCGGAGACCGCCGAGCCCCTACTCATCGGCTTCGTCGACTTCTTCTTCCTACATGAGCAACCGTCTCATTCCGCGCTCGTGCTCTACCGCTGCTTCTTCCTTCTTCAACTCCGGTGGCGGAATCGGGTCTCGATCTATGACGCCTAGTCGTAGCCGCTCTGACTCGGCGTTCCTCGGGGCTGGGGGCTACGGAGATCGATCGCCTGTCCCTTACCCATCGGACGAGCTCCTCGGCGAGCCTATGGAGACTACGAGTTCTGAGCGGGATAGTATTTCCGTCACTGTTCGGTTTCGACCAATGAGGTATGACAGATCTGAGCGTGGTGGACCAGATCTAACGGAGATAGTTCCGTGATTCTTCTGGTTCAGAATTTGCAAAAGATTCAATGCCAGCGGAAACTCGGTTAATTTCCACGGGGTTTCACAATTTCACTTGTTATTTATTTGGTTACAGTGAGAGAGAGTATCAAAGAGGGGATGAGGTTGCTTGGTATCCAGATGGGGATAAGATTGTCAGGCACGAGTACAATCCAGTCACAGCTTACGCATTTGGTACCAGCTTCATCTCTGCTCGGATAATTATATTCGGGAGATCACTTTACTGTCTTCTGAAGATGATGGTGTTAGTGATTGGAGTCTTGTTGGATCTTAAGAGTATGATGGGATGAACTTCTTTTGATTCGCTGATTCCCAGATAAAGTTTTTGGACCACAAGCAATCACTCCAGAGGTATATGAGGTAGCTGCAAAGCCTGTAGTCAAAGCAGCTATGGAAGGTGTAAATGGTAAGGGATATAGCTTTAGAAACAGTTAACCAGATTCGTATTTCTGATAGATATACTTTGAGATAACTTCTTTGCTAGTGAAATTATGTCGAATGAAGTCTCCTCATTCAGTTTTGGCAACTTGACAGGAACCGTTTTCGCTTATGGTGTTACAAGCAGTGGAAAGACACATACAATGCACGTAAGTATTTTCTGTGTGGTTCCTCTGATTCTCTGCTTGGTGTTTGTTTGAGACATGTACTTTCAGTCAGGGACATCATTGCCATCTAGCCATTTTTAGATACCTGCTGATAGTTCTGCCTGGGTTGAATGATTATGGGGGTAGGGA